GTTCTGATTGTCACAGATTACAGAAAATCATGCTTTACTCGACCATTTTGCGTTTAAATAAAAGACCAAAAATTTCAGTACTATTTCTTTAATCTTTTTTTTTTTAGACGAGCATTATAAAAAGATATTCTCTCTTTTACGGGATATTATCTAAACATTTTTCAAAAAAATAAAAAGATACGGAAAGAGATCTCTGTCCTACGCACCGCGCTCGTAAAGATCGTAAAGCGCGACCTCGAAATTACACGTAACGTATTAACTCATGTATGTTACGACTGTCATAAAATGTTCGCTTCTCGCGGCGTGTGAACAGGTGGCAGTGCAGACGAGTTGTGTGTGATTCTTTCGGTCACAGTGCACGTAGCTCGCGCGACTCGCGGATGTGCAATGCGAATGATAATTTCGCGCAGGAACGTAGTAGCTCGTAGGAATATAGCTCGGCGCCAGCGACAGTGCATAACGTTTTTTACGCGACGAGTCTGACGAGAAATTATTTCGCCGTGGAATAAAAATGTTTACGCAGTAAAAGCAACGGCATTCGTACCCATTTTATCCGTGATAACTTTTCGGCTTTGTCACGTCTCGTTCGCCGGTGCGCGCAAATACTCTTTCTCTCTCTCTCTCGACCGCTGCCGAGTTTTGCGTCAAACGTTTTTTCTTTATTTTATTTATTCCTCTTTTATTGGTTTTTTTTTTCTTTTTTTTCCACGGATAAATGCGTGCGTTTATACGGCAAATGCGTGGAATAATAATCTAATGGAAAAATATCTAATTTTGCGGATTTAGCGAAATTACATTTTGCAAATTTAAAGGATTATTTACAACGGAGATAATTGAATATCGCTTTTATGTCTCTCAATATACACGTGATTTGCACTCGCAAGTTTATTCTAATATACTTTCATAATTTGAGACACGGTGTTACAGTAATTTTCAGCGCTGTTACAATAAACAAATTAATTCACATTAATATGGTAGTGTGTGCTCCCTTCACATATATAGATTACGCTTAACGTCACGTCACGTCGTGTTTTGCAATATCGAAGGATATTATTGTGCCGTTGGAAATATCAATTTTTAATCGTCCCATTACGCGACGAGGATTATTTCTGGTGATAAGTCGTAAGTAGTTTATGTATCCATTTAATTAAAAAAGGAGATTCCATTTTTAATGTAATATTACGTTATGTTAAAAACAACCGAGAAAATACCAGGCCAAAAGTGTACATGTAGCTTTGCGCGCATTGCATATTTTATGAAGAATAAAATATGAAATGCGCGGTACTGCGATTAAACTTTCATAGACTTTCATAGATCGATTGCCATCTCGAGCACGGATTTTATTCCGATGTTCCTGTAATTCAACGAAACGTTTAAAATTAGTCGGTTACCATATTCTCCTTTTTCTCGTACGATATTTTTTACATCCCAATTTTACATTCATTGTTCGATATTCTGCAATCCTCACGATTCATGAGATTCATTTAATCTCATCTCACCGTATCGTAATTTAATATCCAGAAAAATATTACTTTTAATATCAATTATACAGCAGTTATAGTCAATGCAGTCATGCCGTGACGTTTATTGTGTTAAAAACAGTTACAATATTACCATATTTTAAAATTCAAAATTATGTAGCGACAAATCGACCAGTTTTATTGAAAGGGACATAAATTATAAATCAAAGGGGCTGAATTACGAGCTGTTTCGCTTAAATGTATTTGTAACAATGAATAGAGTGTGCTCGTAGTTTAGTTTCCTTTGGTGACATAATTAACCGGAACAGACGAAAATCATATATCCGCGTTACTTGCTATAAGACACAAATGTAATTACGTAACTCTGTGAATGTTTGAAGATTCACGTCAGACGCAGCTATTATCTAGTCGGCTGAGTAAATTCGTCTAAAGACGCATGGTGGAAACGTTTCCATGTAATAATTAGATAATGATTGTATGCCATGTATATATTTCTCGCGAAATATTTTTCTATGATAAAACAAAGCTTCGGATAAACAAATTATATTCTTATGTTTCTATATTCCGGTAACCGGTATATTTTAAAAGACACTCAACTTAAATGAGTGTTGTATTCCACTATACTTCATCTTCATATTTCTTATCTTTGCTTATCATCTTGGCAACACTGATAAAAGTGTGTACCATCAACATTTTTAGCCTGATCGTATTTCATTAAATAATTAAAAAATATAGTAATGCGTAAGTGATTTTGAAAAACGATCTTTATATAATTTTTTTATAATTTGTCAAGTAGAAGAAGTAAAATTTATATAAGTAATATGTGTCATAATCACATTTCGAACAAACATATGGTAGCAATTAACGCGTGTCCCATGTTTTTATTTCGTTTTTTTTATTTTTGTTGAATCTTTTATTTTTGTTGAATCTTTTATTTTTCTTGAATCTTTTTGTTTATTAATAGTTTCATTTACAAAAGATATTTTTGAATGCGACATTATAAAAGTATCAAATAAAAATATTACATAAATATCAATTTTCTTAAATCAGACTTGTTGTAAAATCATAACCAGATATAATTTGACCGTAAACAGAATGAACACTCGTGCGATAGAATAGGAATGGAATTTCACGATGTCGTTGGCTAATTGTAAGCATTCCCAAGTCACTAATTAGAAAACTAGAAACTGCGAACGTTATCTCGCACGGGAGAGATAGTAAGCTTGGCGGAACAACGCGACCGGAAGAACTAGAACCATATTGTTTGAATTATGATGTAAATAACTCGAAGCTAAGACATTACTAAGTTCCGCGGAAACTTCTCAATGAACGTACCGATTCCGGGCTATTTTATATACAGCGCATTAACACGCGGATACACTGAAAATATTCCATTTGCAAAATGGAATATAAAACAATTGTAATGGAATATAAAACATTTTATTATGTTTTAGTTATGAAACTCGACTGCTAGAAGAGGATTACACTTCTCTTTTCAAAATATAATTAATTACATGGAGCGTAATAGATAGTCTGACAAGTATATGTCTCTGCATTATGATATGCTGATTCTTTCCTTAATTTCATCGTGTCAGCGAAACTGCTTCGCGAGGCTCGTTGTGTCCGAGTAATTCGTTACCTTTCAGTCCGCTTGGATCAGTCAGTTTTATAAACAAAATATATGCGTGTGCACCGAACAGAAAGTGGTATAGCGGTAAGTTAAAAACTACTCTTTTTAATCACTTGAATATGGTCTATTGATAATTATAGACAATTTATCAGCATTTTAAAGAATTTCCTTTTAATTTAATTTTATAAATTTTTTACAAAGTTTTATAATTTGAGTTCGCGCTGCGATCCTATGTATCTAAAACTTATATACTTTACATAAACCGTGTATCTTCGCGTAGCTAACTACATATGATCTTTATATAATATACCGTCGGCAACAAAGACACGAACTATTTCGTTTCTATATACTTTCTTCCGCTCCCGCATTTCCATTTCCCATTGACGCCGAACGTGGTTCTTTCCTGAAAAATAACCCGGGTGAAAAGTAAGTCAGGATCCGGAAGACCGTGAAGCGTTCCAGGAGCACAATGTGCCATTTAAGTTCCGCGATCCGTAGAGAGACACGGTATAAACGACTTGTCGTGAGAAATTTTTGAAGAAATTTCAGACGGCGTTCAATAAGCGCGAAAAATATCATAAATTTTAACAACAACCTAATCCTGTTTCTTAAATTGTAATTTTTGCGAAAATAATGGTATTCGGAGTGACGAGAGCTGCGCCGAACAGCTCCCATGATTCATTCGGTAGAGACTATTAGGGATGTTATGATATAATCAATCATTCACGCTGTAGAAGTTTGCTGGAAAAACATATTTGCATTATGCACACACACACACACACACACACACACACACACACACACACACACACACACACACACACACACACACACACACATAATGTAGAACATATTTGCATTATGCACACAAAGATACACATATCGGCTCGCGCAATGTACACCAAAACTTAATGAAGCATTATGAAAAAATCATTACATTCTTCATTATTAGTCTAAATTATAGATGAGCATTTACATTAAGTATATATTTATTCAACAAATATCAATTAATGACGCGTAAATTTTGTTTAAAGAATGACTTGATATGAATTTAATAATATGTATTAACGAATTCATATTGCTGCAAAACGGTGTCATTTAGATATCATTAAATTTGCAGAAAATTGCAATTTAGTTCTGACTTTAATGTTATAAGGGAAAATTTTATATGCAGCAAATCAGTTTTAATTATAAAATATTATCACATTATGCCATATTTGTTTAATATATTATTTGTAGCATTTTTTATATAAATACAGCTATATTTCGCTTATGTTTTGTGTTAAACGCTGTAGAAAAAAATAATATTCCTATTCGATTGAAATCATCAATGATACTCATTGTTGTAAATAACACAGTGACTAATTAATATGTCTTTGCTAATATTTTTTAAATTGATTTTATGTGTAATAATAATATTATGTGTAATTATGTAAATAACATATTGTATTTTATAATGAAAAAAATTATGTCATGCATTATAATTAGTTTTGAAGTAATTCTAAACATGCTGTAAAGCTTCTTTATATGAAAATGCGTTTGAAATATTCAAGAAGCGTAACGTTCTAGTTTCCACGAGACACTTCTTTATTCATCGCCGCTGTAAAATTGCTGTGTAACTTACACAACTCACTCTGATGCTTTTATCCATTCGATTCTCATTGAAATCGATATAATTTCGAAATTCCAAATTTCGATACTGTGGAGACGCAAATGATCTTGATCTCTTCATGGAGAGGAGGAAATGAAGATGATTTTCTCGCGTCCGTAGCATCGAAAATTGATTTAACAAGAATTATAAGAACACATCTCTAACATCCAAACTCGGATTCTAATTGCAATTGCTACGAACTGCCACCCCCCCTCACGTTTGTTTCTCGCGTGCACAGTGGACGCGCGGTTGAACATGTTAAAGTCGCTCGGTATCGGAGCGAAAGATTTACCCTTACCGCCTTTACCGCCCACGGTTATCCAGGGGAGCGCGATGGCGAGCGACAGCGGGGTTGGTAATGCCGCATCCACGAGCTCCAGCGTATCATCCGGAAATTGCACCACTGTCGTCTACGCCTTTCCGGAGGAGGATCACATGGTGGTGGGATTCCTGAATGAGTGGATCAATGCCTATTCCTTCATAACGAGTGAGTACACCATCGGTCGATCGTTACTTTCAGCTGGTAAACCATCTGGTAAAACGCCATTGCTATCGACCCCGACGAGCTCTTGCCAGGGTTGGATACTATAGGGTAGTTTGCCCCGCGAGAGGGCAAAGGTTTGGCGAAACATGTATGTTTCCCGTAGTTGCTTGAACATTTTGTTGACACATGCACGTAAAAAGAGATACCAATTTGGACGAGACAGATTATTATTGAATGGTTCAATTTTGGGTGTTAAAATAGATTTTACTTTCTTAATTGTTGCATTTTAATTATTGCACATCTATGGACATAATTTTTGTCTGATATCCGAAACCGAACTAATCGAAATTGACTGGTTTGTATTTAAACTTTTCGATATCGGAGTATATCGAAATGATAGATGTAACCACCGATTGATTTCTGTCTGACAAATATGAGCATTGTGTGTCTGGGATTGCATTGTTTCCCGTAGCAGTAATTAGTACGGCATGTTAATTGATTTTTCCTTTTGTTTCACTGTTTCCGAATTTTAATTGAATATCGTGTTGTCTATGTAGGTGTTACATAGTCAATGTAGATTTGTTTGGACAAAAGCAGATTATATTAAATAAATAAAAAACTCAGCGGATTAAAAAAAAAATCATGTGCTCTATTTTTAGGCTCAAATCTGCTCTTGTCGACATTTTACGCAGAGAAAGGAAGGGAAGAAAGAAACACGAAAGTTTAAGATGTATGTTTAATGTGATTTCCGCAGATAACCAGGAGAAGTTCTACCTCTACATTATTGTATCAGTCAGCGCTGGTATCCTGCTTTGTCTGGGATTGGTTATCGGTCGCTTATTAATTAGCCGTCATCGTGCGAAGAGAGATGCAAAGTTTCACGCAAATAATGAGACCCTCCCGAACGGCTTTACCGACGATATTTCCGAAATCGATGCCGACATTGATCTCACCACGCCTGTCGCAGTACCAATGCAAGATGCAAGGTAAATATCTCCTTTTAATAAAAAAAAAAAAAGTAACTCCTTTCCTTATTGCGCGAGTTAATAAAATTGCTTTAACGTAAGTTCTCTCTCTTTCTTTCATTTTTTTATTTAGATCTTAATTAAATAACTGATACTAAATATATAAAATCAAAATGTGAGATGGCAATGAAAAGTATCCATTTAAAAGTTAAATACGTAATTGCTTCGAGAACATTTAAATAATGTTAATTTTAAATATATTATTGATATTAAATATATAAAATCAAAACATGAGACGGCAATGAAAAGTATCTATTTAAAATATCTATTTAAATACGTAATTACTTTGAGAACTCTCTAAACAATGTTAATCTTAAATAAATAATTTTTATTGCTTTTTTAATTTTATTTTATGAAGAAACGGTTCTGAAAGTTTTACCGCAATTTTATTTCTTACGTGATAATTAACTGTTAATTGTGGATTTTAATTATATTTCTTTTGCAGATTGCCCGAAACTCAATTGGCCGAGAGACTTCACGGCGAACGCTATTACGCCGACACAAGAATACCTTTATCCCCGACAACAATTCCCAGCGTCCATACCGCATCAGTGCCTCATGCAACCAATACCGGGATGCGCGTTGATCTTGGAAATCATATGGTCGGCACGGATAATCTTCACACGATCCTCCGCACGGAGAATCCCCGAAGCCTCAACAACAAAAGTTATTACTATGGCTGACAAGAGGAAGGGGGTGTCCCGCGCGAGGGACGACCCCCGTCCTTGAGCCCGGTACCGGAAGTTAGTACGCGAAAATATTGCTTTTAATTGCGGGAAAGGGGAACACGCGTTCGACAAAAGCGGATATGCCGCACCAAGCCGCTGTAAATTACGTTGAAGACGAAGAAATCATCGGCCGATGCACCGAATTATGCTACATTGTGAAAATACGATCTCAGATTTATCAATGCCAATGAGCATCTGCCAACGTTCACCAAAACAGACTGGATTGCGGACTTGTATATCTGTAAACGTGTCGTCCATTTTGAGGATTTGCGAAAATTCTCGATTAGAAATGTATAATCTATCGTCAGTGAGAATGGAAAAGGAGTGATGAACGAGACATATAGTTAGAGCATTATCTTGTTATTGCAACAAGAACGTAGCAACGTGGATCGATTTGTAAATGTGTATAAGAAGGCTCGATTAATTTTTTTAATAGAACTGGAATAGTTTTAAGGACCACAGCAAATTTTTTTGTTGAACGAAATGCTTTGTGAGATCAGGCACATGACAGTACTGTCATTTTTCCAAATATAAAATGGTATTGAGAAAGTAAATATGTATCTCGCGGATATTTATTTCTTGACTTATTAAACTGTAAAATCGACGGGTTGAGTTTCGTTTACTATAAATAGACATATCTCGTGAAAACTGTGTTATCGACCCTATCGACTCACGACTTACTCACTGTATACCCTGTACTCACTATATACTCAGCTGTATACCCTCGGAAGAATCTCACTGAAGCGAGTTCCATGGAGCATATCGATTGTAACACTGCCGGTAACACTTTGCTGGTAACAGACTTCTGGGACACCTCTTACTCACAATTGATTTGTAGCGATTTGTATCATAGTGGACGAAATCAATGGATCCAATATTTCTTCTGTAAATGTCGACAATGTGGAAAGCAACTTGGGACATTTTATAAGTGACATTTTATATATAATTTTCTCAATATCAAAATCTAAGCAGATCAATTTACGTTGAAATTTGTAAGGCGACCGTGATAGGAAAACCCAATATTACCTGACGTTTCCTAAACCGACCGCTGCTTGCGCGCCACTTGAAAATTATTGACCATCACTGATGGAGCAGCGGCCAAACGTGATCACGCCCACACTCAAGAAAATCTCTCAACGAACTTACAGCGGTTTTGTATATCGAAGCTGCCATAGTCGCGAGACGATTTTTATAAAGTATTGATATGTATGTACATCACACTAGTAAAT